CAAAGTATATATTGCCGAACGATGATGAAGAAGGTTTGTATAAGGTTATATAGTACATTATTATCACTATTATCACTATTATCACTATTATCACTATTATCACTATTATCACTATTATCACTATTATCACTATGTATTGTATGGTCATGTGATAATGCAGGTCTACTATTACTATAAGTATTAATTTAATTTTCAATAGTCGACAGACTTCAGTTGCAGCATTTTCTTTATCGAACCATATGGAATGGTAATTATTCTGCTCCAGTAGCTGAACTTCTTGAACGTGGAAATTGCAATGTTCTTGATGTCGGGTATATATATAAATTTATTTATTTATTTAATTTATTTGCTACTAGTGATGATAGAACACCCGAAGCTTTATTAACGCTTTTATTATTTTTTTTTCATTAACGAAAGTTGCGGTCCTGGCACGTGGCTTTTAGATATGGTAAATATCTTGACATTATCGGTATTATCGGTATTATCATCGGTATTATTAATTTTATTCATTATGCACTAATTCTAATTTATTATTATTATTATCAAATTTTCAGTCAACAACATACCCAAAATCCAGGTTCATTGGCATAGACATTTCTCCAATGTTTCCAACCGGCATAAAACCTCCAAACTTGACTTTTCACACTGCGAATGTCTTAAAGGGTCTACCATTCCCTGACGATCATTTCGATTTCGTTTATATGCGATTCCTAATAATAGCATTTACCGAAGACGAATGGTCAACGGTAATTAGTGAATTAATCAGAGTGGTGAAACCTGGTGGGTGGATAGAATTAATGGAGGGTAATATGGAATTTGAAGGGGAAGGTGCTTGTGCACAAGTTTTAATGGATGCTTGTAAGTACTAATATTTTCTTTACATTGATTATTTATTATAATTATTGTTATTATTTTTAATATCTTAATTTGTTTTTTTAAATAAAAAGTCAGATCGATACTTCTTTCGAATTCTATGAACCCACAAATCTGTTCTCAAATATTCACATACCTTTCAACTTCTCCTATGTTAAAAAATTTTTCATTTGAAGAAAGATCAACACCAATTGGCACGTGGGCTGGTAAAATTGGCGAAATTGCAAGTCAAGATTTTTGTTCTCTATGGTTAGCAATGAAAGGTGCAATATGTCATGTACTTGAAGAAAAAGGTGTGATTAGGGGTTGTAGTTGTACTAAAGAGTATCATTCTGGAAATGAACTTTATGAAAAAGAATGTAAAAATTTTTGTGATGATAATAGATTGAATGAAGAATATGATGAATTGATTAAAGAGATTATTAGAGAGTGTAATGATGAAAAATCAAATTACAGACATTACAGATTTTTTGCTCAAAAAATTTGATTTATTTACTTCATAGACAATCACATGTGACTCCTTTTTTGATTTAACCCTCTTCATATACTTAATCATATACTTAATCATATAAATCCGCAATTACTTGTAGTTATGTATATTGTATTATTCCTATACAAAAAAATTTATAATGGTTTAGTGTAATTAGAAAAAAAAATTTAAATTCAATTCAATTAGTTATAAAACAATTAAACTGAGGCACGAACGTACACGTACGTGCATCGAGTTTAATTTGATATTATTAAAGGTTTATGAAACTATTTTTTAAAAAAAATTGTAGTTCACATAATGACAAAAGTCGATGTTATTTCGGTTAATTGATAATTATTATATAATCGGTTAAAGTTAAATATAGAAAAAAAATTATATACCGTATATATGTCGACTAAATCGGCTTAGAATACCTTGTTTGTAGCCCTAGAAATTCCCTAATAAAAATTTATTTACGCGTATTTGTACTCTCAATGATAACATACGTATCAGATAACTCAAATGGCGTCATGCATAAATAATAACATCTATGAATCATGTGAGAAAACATGAATGTTATCTAATGGTATTTGGCTAATATTGTGTAAACATCGTATTCCTAATTGAAAATATTGCCTAATCTGATTTTATTAACTGTAATTACAATAGAATATAGAATACTTGTGTTGAAGTTAGGGTGTCTGGCATACAAAAAAAATTTGGCATACCATAAGCATGCCTTTTGGCATGCCATAAAATATTGTATAAATTATTAATAATATAATACTATAAGTCTAATATATAGTATAAACTCTATAAATATAGTTTTTTATACTGTACCCAGTGGCATGCCAAAAACAAATTTGGCATGCACTGGCATGTTACTATGACATGCCACTATTGGCATACCTTTGCCACTATGCCAAGAAAAATGAACAACCAATCAAAACGCTGGATAACTCTCGCCGATCACTTGATTTACATCGACCAATGAAATTGGCCCATATATGATCATTTTTATATGTTCGTTTCATTTTACCTCCCCCCCTCCCGAGAGTCCTAGAAAGTGATAATAGTGATAATAATGTACTATATAACCTTATACAAACCTTCTTCATCATCGTTCGGCAATATATACTTTG